AGATGAGCATTTGGACGGCATTTACAGGAAATTGTCAGCAATAATAGGTGAAAGAGAGTAGAGAAACATGCATTAAAATGCCATTAAGACTTTGGTAGTAAATAGATTTCGTATTTATTTAGCATTATATTTTATTGAAACGCTCAAGTGCCTAGCTGTGCTCTAAGCTAAGTATAATCTTATATAAAAATCTGGCTGATCTAGCACCACCAGATTAGTAGGTGAACGACTGTAACTTAAGAAATCGTGTGACAAGTACAGTTGGGTTTATGTGTTTGTATAAGAGCATGAATTCATATAACTCTTTTATACCGGGGCGGTGGTGTATCGACAATAGTTCCGGAGTTCGTGGTTGGGCCCTGTCTCGTATCGACGTTGGATAGTGTGTTACATACTGCACTGCATCTTACTTTATAAACTATGTCACCTCCACATTCCACCCATGTCGCATTTACTGCAGAAATTGAACGGGTTGCATGGTAGAGTAAAATAGTTGGATAATATATAGTGTTAGCTTGGTATTTGTATGCAATAACTTAATTCACATGTATGCACATATGACATTTTTGAAGAGAGATTTCAGCCATCGTTTCTTGTAGCCATAGATATATATACAAATACAATATAATATGTTGTAAGCAACAATGTAGATCACATAGCCACTAAAATCGCATGTGGTGGCATGATGGCAGAAAACTGCAATTTGTGCATAGATGTGAAGTTAATCCATTTTTACCCCCATTCGTATGTACTCTAATAGTAAAGCCCTACCACATCTGCAGGAGTTTAAGCTTTTCGGAGGTCATCAAGCGTGTAGTTTATTTGGTGAATTTTATGTATATTTTTATTCAAATATGAGTTTGAGAAGTTTTTTTTCTCAGATCTGTTATCACCAGTACTTAAGCCAGAAGTCTTTCTGACAGGCTGCCTATGTAACAGCTGTGCTCATGATGCCGAGTAGTACAAGTTCCCAGATAGGCTATCATGTTTAGCAAAAACATCACGTCTGTGTTTGCATAATAATAATAATATTTTATATGCACAAGTGTCGTGTATTGATTCTGGAGAGTATGACACATGTGAATGCAAAGAACATTTTAATTCCCATTTGCAGTTGTGTAAAAATGACAAGAAAGCAACTGTTTCCAGTGGTGTGGTAGTGGTGGTGGTGGTGGTGTGGTGGTGGTGTGGTGGGTGGTGGTGGTGTGTGTGAACGTGTACATGTGTGTGCATAATTCATGATTGTATAGTCTCAGTGTTGTTATATTAGGCGAACGTGGCGCTGTGCTGTTAGTCGATTTCTCGGTTGAATCGTGCATCTGCTTTGATCGGGCGGGCTCATTTGGGCAGTCTTGTGCAAAGTACGTGCACAACCGGATATAATACTACACTGGTAATACAGGCAGCTGGTACTCTATACTACAAGTATTCACTTTGCACATATTTTACGGGGCGGGTTGCTGTATTGCTGCGGTTAGATCCAGGGCGCAGCGCGGGTACATTGATCCCGAGGCACCGATCCCAAACCTAGCCGGCATCGCTGCATTCCCTGCTTCGAGCTTTCCTTCACGGATGAACTGCAGCTAGCTGGGGCAACTGACCCCTGGTTGTGCCTAGGGCACTGCGTACTGCATGCTGCTCTTTGCAGGTATTGAACAGAAACGTACGTCATTTTGATACATCTAGTTCATACATTTTACATTGCTGTATTTCAGCAAGTTGGGGCCAGTTTATAATCATTTGCTGCCTGTAGTTGCAAGCATTAGAGGCGCAAGCAAATTAAATTCAGATATTTATCCGTACATGTGGTTTTGTTAGTCAAAATATGTGGGCATGGCCTAGCTAATTTGTGCAAGAGCTATCCAAATGTTTTGTCATTCATATTACAACAAAAATGAGACATTGTTTTATAGGCAATTAATTACTGACCCCAGCATCTGTACGAGGCCCTATAATTTATTTATCTAATTAGCTAATGAAAATTACGTTGCTGTTTGTCCAGGACAGGCTGCTACACACTTCGGCATGGTGACTAGTATATGTATAATATCAAGAGCATATAAGGAATATTCTTCTTTATATGCTCTTGATAATATATATACATGACATCATGAGTAAATATAATTAGGAAAATGTTTCTTCTACTCCTGATAGTATATTCTACAGTCCTTAGACACTCCCAACCTTCAACAACTAAACTTGTAACTTGTCCTACATTTTAAAACTTAATGAACTTTATTCATCTCACAATATATGCTTTGTTAATGAAATTGATCACAATGGTGCATTATTCGTGAGATCCCTTTTTAAAAGCATATTGCGTTGACAATTGTGATATCGCTATAGTCCCCTGCTTTATATTAAACAGATCTTGTGAAAGTATGTGTGATCAACTATAGTTACTAAGTATATTGGTGTTCGTCGAAGTTTATTGGTGTTTGCAAGGATACCTATGAGTATGAGTCACAGCTAGGCATTTGGATTTGTTTACAAACTCACAGAAAGATAGAGTGCCTTTCTGTGAGTCTGTAAACAGTGGCGTGTGTGCAGTGAGATTATGTGCTGCAGAGAAACATTGAAATGGAATTTACGGGTTTTTGTGTGTTTATTACTATCATTTTATCAGGTGTGAATAATAATAGATGTTCAATCTACTCCACATTTGTAGATGTGACCCAGATTTCCGAGCGTCAACTAGTACTTGTGAGATTTACTAGATTTGTGCCTATACAGCCAGCCTATAGTTAGCTCACAATAGCTGGAAGCGAATTTTCAAAGCCATCAACCTCTTCGCATGCTTGAATGATTACGGAAGTTGTGCATGTTGTATACAGTAACACTCTGCAAATTGAATGCGAAATGAGCTGTGTCTATGGAGGCAGGAAATGTATTTGTGTCACGTAGAACTAGATGAAGTTTAAATAGATAGTAGATCGTAGTAGATCAGTAGTAGATAGATATAGACAAGAGCGTATAAAGAAGGTTATACGCTCCTTTTTTATACGCTCTTGATATAGATAGTAGGTGGAGAAATAGGACTTTGTGGTGCGTTTGAACTGGGGATATGCTTATAACATAAACACATATTCATTAACATAAACTCACACAAATGATAACACAAATTCCACTCCCACGCTTACGGATAACAATGCTGAAGTATTCTACTCTCTGTTTTCCAGCCGGTGGAAGATTCCAACGCAGAGATGGAGTGGCTGGATGGGTTTCTAGATGACAGTACACCCGTTCTCAATGACAGAATGATGACAGACGCAGTTCCTTCTCCACACATCAAGTCGGAGCACAGCTACTCGATGGCAGAAGGCAGATGTAGTAGTGCACACCTTCAGCACGACCGACTCATTGATCTTGAACTGCACAGTGATAATCTGACTGCTGGTAAATCGCTCCACCAATTATTATTTTTATTTGATGAGATGGACACCAGTGACTTGGAGACAATGGTCGCCCAAATGCATTAATTGTAACATAATACAATTTTTCTCATGAGAGACCACGCACATGCCATTTTTTTACAAGCACATATGTAATTAACTAAATTATATCATAACATAACTAACTTGTAGCATTAGACATTCTTTGGGACTATAATGTGCACCATAAATTGAGAAAAAATGCATGATTTGGATGGAATGTTTGAAAGTGAAGTTCAAAATGTCCACATAAAATCACAATACAATGGCTGCCAATTGGCAAATTATCTGTATATATGTTTTACATCGATGGACATTAGTTTTAATCCAGGATGATTTTTACTGAAATTTTTGGTTTATGCTAATAAGGCTATTTTTGAGTGTGATCATGTCAATAGTTCTAGTCTGTACTCATAATATGAAGCCGTCTAGTTGTTCTTTAAACATGAAACAGACTGAGCTGGATGCGAGGGAAAGAAAAGGTGTGCCCAGGCCAGGTAAATAGTCACTGACGTGTAAATTTGGTGTAAGGTTACTATTTTAATAGAAATGCGTTGTGTATGTACATAAGTCATGGTTAAACACCTAATCCTTGCTCTACTGGGGAAGTATTCTGGAACATTTACTTTCCTCGCTCCCATTACCTACTACCAGCTGTATAAAAATCTATAATATTGATGTGTAGTAAACACTAAACAGAAAGCCCATGAAATCAACATTTTCATTGTTGTAATCTGTAAATTGCACTTACATGTGCAGGGGTTGGGAATCAACAAGTGTGCGCATGAAAACTCCAGCGTCTTTGTCCTGCCAAACTTGTACTTACGACAGGTAACTTGTCCTGCCAGTGTATGTGGTCTCCATGTGTGCTTGTGGTGTTCAGTGACACCATACACACACATACACGTGCATTACACACGTATCTGATTATAGTACGGTTCGTTCCGCATGCGTAACCTCACCTGTTATGAAAACTTGGCCGGTTCAAGGCCGTTCATTGACAGACGTTTTAGTAGAATCCCGAATTTTTTAGGAGGACTACGTTAAGAGGAATAAGAGGTTTGTCTCCCGTGACAGTGATTCTTGTCTCTGTGACAGAAATCTCTTAATCAATGGCCGCATCTTCGCGTGTTTCAAACGGGAGATTCGATTCTTTGTAGATCCGGTTTGTTTGATACAGGAGGCGATGATCTATAGCCATGTGACAAAAGCCCCCTTGTCTGCCTGAAACGTCAGCCTGTTGTTTACAGTTCAACAATGCAGCCAGTCGCTCTGTTTAATTAGTTTCACGTTTAATTAAAAGTGCGTGGTTCGGCGGTGAAACTGCGATTTACATGCGATTTACATGCGCCTGTAATTTACATGCATCTGTGGCGGCGTAGCTAGACTGTTTCGTGTGTTGCGAACCGATCTCAGCTGAGACAATAATCTCACGGTCTTCCACGTGGCCGGACACGAGATAGAGACAGAAAGCTTAACATTACACATTTATGACTGTTGCTGGAGGCAAAAAAAAATCGGCACCCGAAGAGTGGTTATAGGCGTCAGCCACGCTATTAATTAGGCTTCATGCCGCACAGCCGCGAGGTTGATTTTGACAATATTCCATTTGCATCTATTAGGCAAAGATGCCGGAGTCATATACTGAATAATGCATCTACGCACGTAACGTGTGGTGGCGGTCGTTTACCGCAGCAACTTGCGAGTGACCGGCACGTAGTAGTGACCGGTTTATTTTACTACCATATCGCGTCGCATAGTGTCAGTGTACAGCGTGGTCACTATGTGTGCAGCCAGCATGCATCTAACTGCATGAAGACGAGCCTGTCAGTAAATTAATATCGTTGCTTGGATATAACCCCTTGTGCGCCTGTAGGAGTGTAATGCAAGCTGGCAAGAATGGTTAATGTGCTAACAGCTGTTATTGATTGTGTACCGTATATTGTATAACAGGCAAATGAGTACCTGACATCCAATATAAATAAGGGATTTTTTTAATGGTTGGGGCGTACGGAGACGGGAAATGCTGTTTGTAATGTGTGCTGGCTCAGCCATTGCTGTCAGTTGCAATATTACTGCTTTATACAACAGTCAGGAAATTGGTTAAAAGCGTTCAACCACAGTACGTTGCTCCCAGACCATTTTACCCACGTGTGTTCCATGTGACCCCAAACGGCCAGCTAGCTTTTGTTCCACCAGCTCGGTGGCGCGAGATGGTGGAAAGCAGAACTTTAGGCAGAGAGAGTGTGTGTGTGAGAGAGTGAGAGAGAGAGAGAGAGAGTGAGAGAGAGAGAGAGAGAGAGAGAGAGA